GCTATACAGATTCACCTGGCTTCTCCCTGGTCTGTGGGATTATACCACTTTTATCTTTGATAGGAAGCAAATGAATCAGTTCCTTCTCTGGTGTGGTCTGCAGAGTTCTTGGTATTTTTTCATATTTATCTATAATGCGCTCATGCTTTCGTTTCTTGGTGTGAACAGGTTCACTACAGGAAAAGAAATTCAATTTTCAGTCTTAATATATTTTAAAAGGCACCTTGAAAATAGAGACCTATCATTTTAAAAGTACAGAAAAATAAACCACAAGCCAACCTTCAATAGGTCTATAGATGTTATCACTTAGACCAGGCACTCAAATAGCAAGTGAATAAATGAACTGGGTAAACAGCCTACCATAAAGACTCAAACTACAGCTACATCTAGTTTTCCCTGTAGATGCAAAATAAAGGTGAAAGTTACAGCAGATTCTTTTTAAAGAATATTCCGCAGACCCAAGGGTGACTCTTTTTCTTTCCCAAAATCTTTGAGGATGGCATGAACCTTGGAGTTAAAAAGATCTAAGTTTAAATTCCTGATACTTATGATTGTGGGGAAGTATCAGTTTCCTCTCTGGAACTAGAAATAAGACCTACCTAGCAGGGTAACGAGCAGTAAGTGAGATCGTGACCATAAACAACTCAGGAGTGTTCTGCCAATGCCTCAAACTGAGAACAGCATTCTTCCCCCATTCACTGTACTTCACTTTTCAGACTCAAAAGAAAGATATAAACTAAGTAAAATCAGTTTGTCTTATTCATAAACTTCCTTTATGTATAAAATAAACTGAGTAACAGAGTACTATGTTCAGAGGTGAACATCTTAAACTACCTACCTAAGTTAAAATTCAGAACAAAGTTTTTAACATTGAAAGGATGTGAATAATTATAACCCAAATGCAGTAGTACCTAGAAGAAAGATCTCTTGTTAGAAAAGATGCTCTCTGTCCTAAATCCTTCATTAACTGTAAGTCATCTTCATCCATCATATCTAATGGCAGGGCTTCCTCTTCTTCTTCCTCTTTCCTCTCAATCCTTTTACCTGTTCCACAAAAAAAAAAAAAAAAAAAAAAAAAAAAAAAAATCACAAACAAGTACTAGAGATGTGGAGCTCTGCATTTTTGTGTCTATAACAGGAAAAGCTTGTTTTTCTAATACCTTAGCCCAGTGTTTCTAAATGAAAGCACTACTGACATGTTGGGCAGGACAATTCTTTGTTGTACTGGGGTGTCCTGAGCTAGGATCAATGCTAGCATTTCCGACTCCTGAAATCTAAACGTCAGGAGCATTCCCAGATCATTTTAACATGCAAAAAAATAAACAACTCCGCATATTCTGAGATGCCTTTTAGGGCATTTGAGAACCAATGACTTAGCCTCTTAGCTCCTTCTCATCTCCAACGACTTTCACTTCCATTCCACTTCAACTACCCTCTCCAAGGGCCACATCCCAAACCCTGATACTTACCCCATTCTCTAACCACAATCTTTTGTCCTTCCAGCTCTCATTCAGTTATTTCTTTGCACTTTTTCCTAAACTAAATATATAGACTTCCAATCCTTTGACAACTCCACTTTCTATCTACCAATGTGCTCTGTCTTCACTCCCTTAGATTGCATGGTTATTACTTTAACCACACTCTTGCCAAAATCCTCAACTACTTTTCTTTCTATAGTTCAGGCAATCACATCTAACAAAACCCTAACTACAGATCTGCTCCCTCTCTCTGTCTCTTGCTCTCTTTCTCCATTTCTTTTTCTTTTTATGACGTTCTTTGTCCATAGACAATAGCTTAATTTGTTGATGTCTGACTGGGGTTATTTACATAATTCAGAATAAAAATGGTAGTAAATGTCTGTATTGGTCATTTC